GAGCAATACGCTCCACAGTGGCTGTGGGTTGACCTCCGACTACATCGAACGCTTCAGAAGGGAATCCATTGTCTACTAATTTTACATTGGTGGCGGCGCCGTTTCCTACATTGTAAATTGTATATCGCACCAGCAAATCACTCTGTTCAACCAGATATTTGTTGAGGATTTGTTTCGAAACAAGCAAACGTGCGCTGGTCTCTTCATCCGAGAGGCAAACATTTGAAATGGCTAATAGGAGGCAGGTCGTAAATAGTGTTTTGAACATCCTGTAAGGAGTGCCAGAAATGTTAATTTCAAGTTCATTGGTACAGAGAATAAATTTGCATAATTTCACATTGTCGACGTGGAAACTAAAGCATCCGGCAAAGCAAAACTATATGCCATCGGCAATGTTATTTAAATATTTTAGCCAGTTGTGGTTCATACATTATTAATTGTACTTACATGAGTAACTCTAGATAATAATCTCAGCTAAAATATCTTAAATATGTTGTTAAATTTCTGCACTCCACGAACAGTGTCGCACCAAACAACTTGATAAAATTGTAGCGAAATTTTGACGGAACTGTGTGACGTGTAGCTTCGTGTTTTTCAAATGTCACAATTCATATTCACAAGTTGTGGCGCCATCTAACTGTGATGTGTTAGACGAGGAAAAACTTGATTTCAAGTTGATCACACGCAGCTGTTTGACTTGACTCTCAAGTTGCCTCACGACTTGAAATGAAAAATTTATATCAAGACGAAGTTCAAATTTATGGGTTAATCTTCATGAAACCAAAGAACGTAAATCTAGAAGAAGAGACAACTCGCTGAAGTTTGGCGAGTGAGTCTAGAAGGTTTGCAAGAGGAATTCGCGTCTGTTTTGACATCTTGCTAGAATAAGCAAGGCAAATTTATACAAGGTGGTGTTGATGACGAATTCCAATTTTCGCCGCGGTACTTCCTAATGCCAAAATGATGTGTTTGTTGTAAAATGAATTCGCCTTGTTTATTGCTAATTTATTCAAATTCTGTTAATTTTGTGCCGCTCTGTGCTCACGCCAGAGAACGTTTATGAATGAGAAGGCGCATTTTCTTTGTGAACTAATTGCCGCCAAAAATTTTGAGTTTTGACCCTGCGCTGAGTTGAACGCAAATGTTGATCGCAAAGTTGAACTGGTTGAATAATGCAAACAGACTTTAATTTAAAATGTGCAGCCCGCCTTATGAGATTTACCTGTTTTTATACTTATCGATAGTTATCAATTTATCGAATGTTCACAATGGTTTGTTTACAATGCATCATCAACTTGCAGCTGGTTTTTTGTTATTTTGTTGATATACCTTTTATGCATTTAATTAACATCGATTTAGAAGTTAAACGTGCGTAGCCAAGCTAAGAAGACGGGCTTGAAATCGAGGTAAGTGCTTATTGCCCAAATATTGTGTAAATCCCAGAGAATTCTTTGTTTACATACACTTGTGTGGTAGCACAAGTTGACTTACTACGACCTTGAATGACCTTTCATGCGTATTATCAGTAAAGTGCTTGGCCTGGTGTACGTAGTCAGTTTTTAGTATTCAAGCGTTTCGGACGTTAAATCGTTGTCTAATCTTAGTTCGGCTTTGTAAAGATTTGGGGGAAAAATAATTTTGTAAATATGTCGAGTATTTCTGTTGTTGCTACAAAGCCATATGATGGGCAAAAACCCGGCACTAGTGGATTACGCAAAAAGGTATCTGTATAAATTAGTTTGCAACATTCGACTTAACGATTTAGTGTGAGTTGGAATAAACTAAACTAGTCTTCTTAAAAGGTAAAAGTTTTCACGCAACAAAATTATACTGAAAACTTTGTCCAGTGTATTTTGGACGCTAATGATACAGCATTGCAAGGATCGCTAATTGTGGTGGGCGGTGATGGACGCTACTATTGTAAGGAGGCAGCGGAGCTTATTATCCGTATGTGCGCTGCGAATGGGGTGAGTTTTTGGGCAATAAAACACTTGTCCACACAAATATCTCTGCTGTCAGAAGTAACAACAGTAACTCTATTTAAAACTTTGTAGTTTTTGTGAAATGTATCAATTTTTTGGGTACCTATTATCGGTTCTCTGTAAGCAAGGGTTGTTAAAATATAATTGTACATAAATGTTTCATAAGTATGTACACATTTAGTTTAAATAAGTTTTTTAGTGAACAAAACTAAAAAATATCAAAGAAAATTTGTATAACTGGCGCCACAGATATGTATGTATAGTATAGTAGTATAGTACCTACTACTGATAAACTTTGTATGTAACACTATGCCGAACTTATAAATATGCTTTATCATTATTAGGTTGCAAAATTATTGGTTGGCCAAAATGGTATACTATCCACTCCAGCAGTTTCAAGTTTGATTCGTCATAATAAGGCACTGGGTAAGAAATTATGTGTATTTATGAATATACATATGTGTATATGTATGAGTAAATCTCCTTTTAAAATATATCGCAATTTGAAGGCACACGTAACTCAAAAAGTAAATTTTTATTATATTAGCTTGTAGTCCGGTCAAATTAGACCAAAAATAGGAGTGAAGTTACAAAAATTCCCACCCAGCTGAAAATTGGTGTTTTGAACAATCCTACCAATTTTCAGCTGGGCGGGAATTTTTTTAACCTCGAATGTCTAAATTGACCGGACTATTGTAAGCCTTTTCTTTCTTCTTCAGCAAAATCACACATATTCGTACTAATCCCTTGAAATACAATTAAAGCGCTAGATAAATACATTCAAAATGGAAAGCCAGTGAATTACCACTTTCGCATTTAAGTTTTTGCATACGATGTTAGATTTGTTTACACATAGTGCACCATAAAAATGGTTTGTTTACACGCTATTTAAAATTTTTATATTTGCATTATTTCTTATCAGCATTTGGAGCTTAGTTAAGGGGGCACCTCTGAATGTCAATGGACTCTTAGATAAGACATCATTTCTCACACACTCACAATTGAAAGCCTATAAAATTTGTTTCTTTATTTTTAGTACTTATGAAACTAGGCAGTTAATTTAAGTCTTGTTACATTTCGTTAAGTTTCCTTGCGTTGAGCCCCTAAAAAAATTCACCACCCCATATTTTAGAAAATACGCGTTTTCTTGACATCTTTAGAACAGCGCTTTCTATTTTACTTGAAAAAGTTTTTTGCTTCTTCCGTAAAATTTCAAAATTGTCCCATACGGCCTTATGCATTGATAGTGACGATACGTACAGTGTGAACAATTTTCACGGAATCTTTTCAGGTGGAATTGTGCTGACTGCATCCCACAATCCCGGCGGTCCCGAAAACGATTTCGGCATTAAATTCAATTGCGAAAATGGAGGACCTGCACCGGATGCTGTAACAAACAATATCTACCAACTTTCCACTGCCATTAAGGAATACAAAATTGCCAATAGCTTAGACATCGACATTAGTAAAATAGGTATTAACAAATATGATATCAACGGTAAGACTTTCGTTGTTGAGGTCATCGACTCAGTCGGGAATTATGTCACCCACATGAAGGAAATATTCGATTTTGAGAAACTACGCGAGTTTGTTAGCGGCAAGGCAACTGGCAACCCACTCAAAATGCGCATAGATTCGTTGAACGGTGTAACCGGCTCTTATGTACGTGAAATTTTTCTGAACGCTTTGGGTGCAGCAGAGAGCTGTGTAGTTCATACAACACCTCTACCCGATTTTGGTGGCTTGCATCCGGACCCAAATCTAACGTACGCCAAAGACTTGGTGCATGCCGTTGCGCAAGGAGACTACGATATCGGCGCTGCATTCGACGGCGATGGAGTAAGTAAATTATAAAGTACAGTGTTATGCAAAATATAACTACATATTTTCTTTCGATCTTTGTTACTTGGGGCTTTTAAAGGACCGCAATATGATAATAGGTCATCGGGCTTTCTTTGTCACTCCCAGTGATTCATTGGCAGTCATCGCAAACAACTTGGAATGCATTCCTTACTTTAGGAAAAATGGCATACAAGGCTTTGCTAGAAGCATGCCTACAGCATCTGCTGTTGATTTGGTTGGAAAGAAGCTGGGTAAAGAGGTATTTGAAGTCCCCACCGGTTGGAAGTATTTCGGCAACCTAATGGATGCCGGACGCCTTTGCTTATGTGGCGAGGAGAGTTTCGGCACCGGTTCCAACCACATACGCGAAAAAGATGGCATTTGGGCGGTTTTAGCCTGGCTTTCCGTTATGCAAAACACCGGCAAAGGTATTGAAGATATTCTTAAAGATCATTGGGCTACCTATGGGCGTAACTACTTCACACGCTACGACTACGAGGAATGTGAATTGGATCCTTGTAATGAAATGATTGCAACTATGGAGAAGAATATTACGGATCCTTCATTTGTGGGAAAAAGCTTTACGAGCGGCGGTAAAACATATCAAGTAAAGATTGCTGATAATTTCAGCTATACTGATCCCGTGGATAATTCCGTTGCTACAAAGCAAGGCTTGCGTATTGTCTTCGAGGACGGTAGTCGTATTGTTATTCGTCTCAGTGGTACGGGTAGTTCAGGCGCTACTGTTCGGTGAGTAAAATATTTTTGATTTAATTTTTTTAATTTAGTTTCTAGTTTGAATATCGGTAATACGTTTATAAATATTTAATTTTAGTTTGTATATTGACTCGTACGAGAAAGATAATGTACTCGGCCAAGCTAGCGACATGTTGAAACCACTTATAGACATCGCCTTGGAGATTTCCCAACTACCAAAGTTTACCGGACGCAATGCACCCACAGTCATTACATAAGGAAACATTTACAAAGCAGCATGTGCCTAATTTCGGCTAAACCGCCTAACAAATTTCAAGCATAGAACGTATTACAATGGTTAAAGTTATCAGTCGTAAATCGTCAGCAATGCCAGTACTATAATTTGATCCTTTTTTAATTTAATACTATTTGTTAATAAACAAAAATAAACAAGTTTGCGTTTGCTATAAACAACGACAGGTTTAAACAATTATAAATAATACTCAAGTTTTGGTGCTTAAAGCTAAATATTCAAATTGATTTAGTATAATGGTGGGACATCGTTCGGACAAAACAGATCGCGGTAGCTTGGCTAACCTAAGAAATGTTTCGAGGAAATGCAACACTGTTGTTCCTTCCATGCTGATTTCGCTTTTCGTGCTAGAAAGAGTGTCACTTTAATTTTCATGAGATGAAGTTAAATATTGACAGCTCATTTACCTGATATTCGACTCCACTATCACAGTGGCATATTGGCAAAGATAGGTCAAATACAAAAACTTCACCTCCTTGTGGAACTGCTGCAAAACAGTCAATAATCCGACCAACAGAGGAGTGCCGTCTATATTGTCTTTGGCGTTTTTGGCTAGCAAGCTATTCGTGTTCAGGGTAAATTGAAGTCGTGGCAGATGTGCTATTGTAAACAAAAATAAAAACAGTGCTACGTGATGAGTACTTTTGGTAGAAAGAAAAACTTGCTCAAGCGGTTCGTAGGAACCCGTGAATGCTAAGTACTCGTTGAACTCAATGAGCAATTGGCTGCCACCCTCGGAATCGATGAACTTTGTATAAACAGCTGGTTGTTCCAATTCATTCAACAATGCCCTGCAACATTAGAAATTTAAATATGTACTTATGTATGTTACATAAGTTATGTATAATAATTTTTACTTAAATGTTAAACGCCGAAAAATTATCGAAGTCTAAATTATCACAAGAAACAGAGGCGCTTTATCGGAATTTTTCCCCGATACTCTTTTTACCTGTTGAATGTTTCCAGAGCTGATTCTAAATTTTTCGAATTGCATTTGCTGCTCCTGTTCAATTCGAATGCCAGTTGTTGTCGCAATGTCTGCTTATGACCCAAATTGAGCAACCATTCCAACAACGTCGGCCACACTTTTATCCAGCGATTGTAGTAGTTGAAATAGAATTTTGATGGGTTTGCCGCATTCGTACCCGGGAAATGTTTTGATTCCAATTCCGTACTCAAGCTTTTAAGCGCTTCCACCCACATATTATCACTTGATAGGTTCTTTTGCATCTTCTCCAGATTCTGCTTTAGATCAGCCGCAAACATATAAGAGTACAGTCTATCCAAGCCCACCAATCCTGCAGGTCCGATCGCTTCACGTACTTTGCCAAAGAAGCATGCATTTAGTACTTCCTTGTGTGGTGCACGTTTCTCATACCAGGTTGCTTTCAGTTCTAGAAATATTGTTTGCTTGGGATCCGTACATTGGAGTATTTCGTTTGCCAAACGACCAATGAAATTATTTGATTTCGAAGCGTCACCCTGTAAGGGGGGAAAGCTTGGTATGGGTATAGTCTGGCTCTGATACCGCGATTGCCAATCCTGTATTTTATTTCGTAAAAACGCATTGCATTCCTTTTCCACATTGTAGTTAATAATTCGTGTGATTTCCTCTTGCAAGATCTTCAAACCATGAATCTTCAAATAATCTTGAATATATTCAAAGGAGCGCCTGTACCCATCCATAACTTTTGATAAGGCTAATAGTTTGCCTTCCAGCTCAGCCATGGGTTGTTGCTTCGATTTGTTCGTTTTCGTAAAGATCAGTCCGAGATTGAGCGCGTTTGCGAGGTGTCGAACAAGCTCTTTGCGGATGCCATCTTCCAGCAGTTGTTTGGGGTCGAGTTCAATTACACCAACCAGAGTCTTTTTCATCATCAACACACCTTCCGTGAAAATCGCAATCGAATGCGTAAGTTTAGCGATGGCATAGCGGTCATCGAACTGGGCATACTCCTTCAGTTTATCCTTTTCCAGGCGAGTGGGTATTTCGTGCAGCACCTCAGTTTGCAAATGTATAATCCGCGACAAAAGGCTAAACATCGTTTCAGGAATAATTTGCAGGACCTTGCGCATGTAATTTGCGAGTTCTGTGCTGTAGTAATTGGAAACGGACACTAAATCCTCGCTGTGTGCTTGATTTATACGCAGTAGTGGTATTTCAAGAGCACTGGCCAGCTTCAGGAATGCAGCACGCAAGCGTATTACAGATTTTGGTTGTTTTTTAATACTTTCTTGCATAATTGTAGTGAAGTCCCTATCAAGTAAGCGCCAGGCGTAACTCAAATCGCTTATAAGTTGCATATTGATGAGGATATTCTCTTTGATGTTAATGACCTAGAAGGAATATCAAAATATTTATTAGAGGTTTTTACGAAAAAACTGCATACCTGTATCATGCGGTGTAAGAACTCCCGTGTTTCGACCAAATACTGCTTTACTTGCATATTAGATTGGAGATTATGGAATTCCTCCACCTCTTCCAGAGCCTGTATCAATTGGATCAATGTTCGCCCTGAGACGTTAGTGTTTTCTGCGTCAAGCTTTTCAACTTCTTTCGAAATTTCACTGAACCAAAGCTTTAACTGTGGGTTATTCTCTATTTTAGACAAAGGCCGCGAGCCACCGAATGCTTCACCAAGCTCATTGAGACGATCCAGAGCATCACGCTTGAATTGGGACCAGCGTTCATTCTTTGCGCTTATTAAATTACGCAATATATCCTTGACGACCAACTCCAATTGGCTACAGTCAAGCAAAAGTTCTAACAGTTGTGTGCTTTGATAATTAAGTTCAGAGCAGACCTGTTGCTGAACCTGTTGTGTCTTTTGTGAGCTTTGAGATAATTGGACAACTGGTTTGGAGGTGTGAGTAAAATACCAGCGCAACAGAACGTTGCATTGTCGCATCAAGGGAAGAATTTTTGCAATATTTTGTAAGACAAAATCATCAGTCAAAACACCCACCCGTAAAATTTCTTGGGTTTGTTTTAATGTTTTGACCATTTTCTCCCTGTGTAGCAAACAGAAGCCCTTCAAGCCTGTGTCCACTACTGGTGATAGAGCTGCTTTTGCGGCTTTGAATTCATCCCAGGCAGCAATCAAGTTAATAGTAACACCCATGTATATAGATACAACCCAATTGTCAGCGTAGAATTTGTCGACGATTTCACGCATTTGCGCCACTTGCAAGTGTAAAGTTTGCGGTGTGAAGAAAAGACACACAAAAAGCATAGCTGCTTGTGTAGAGAGGGCGGTGGAGCGATGATCAGGATGAGGGTAAATGGCCAACTGATTATAAAGATCGTCACATCGCAATCGCCCTATTACCATGTCAATAAAGTTTTGGTCGAATTTAAAACGAGAAAAATAAGCAACTGGGTATTGCGTTGGGGACGTTTGTTTAGAGTTGGAGTGGTTTGTGGCACAGTTTGCTACGAACCCTGTTGATCGAAGCAGCATGCATACGTCATCTATATTACTATCACCTTGCGCCTTTGCAGCACTATAGCGATAATACGATATTAAAAGACGCTCACGTACTGTGCCTGGAATGTGATAATCAAGAAGCAATAGCATTGTACCAAACAAATACAAAGCTTCACACTAAAATAAAAAGTGTAATATTATTAATTAATGAAATTAAATGGTTTGGAAATATCTCACCAATAGCTGTTTTCCTTCTCCATCTTGTAATACAGATTCTAGGGTCTGTTGTATATAGTAGCCTCTGTTCAGTTCATCGACGAACTGATTAAGATCCACAGCATACTGGTGCGTACTCTCAAATGCTAAATAAAACCGTGTCAGTATTTCCAAATAATTTTCGCGTACTTCATCGTCCAAATCTTGTAATTCCTTAAAAGAAAATAAATAACGATTAAGCGATAATCATTACTTTTTTTGTAAACTTACCGGGCTGTCTTCTATTTTTTTCTCTTGGGCCTCTGCGACTTTCAAGTAACTAAAATCCAAAATTATGTCGGAATACTTGTGAAGATCAACCTTGGATTCTAAACTATAAATCCAGTTTTGTTTACATTTCAATTTGTTCTTCTTTAGACCAAATTCTTACCGATAAATTTCTGGAATGTAATCCTTTAGTCGCAATATTTCCGCTATTATAGCATTGCCTACAGATGTAATGTGCAATAAACTTTGGCCGCAAGCATTATTTTCGGCAAGAAATTCCGTCATCTTTGCAACTATTTGACAAATTAAAGTAAATCCCGAACAAAAACCTTCCTGCTAGGGATGAAAGATGAAACTACTAGTGATGGAGAACTATCGATGCGGCTATCGATGGTATCGATGGTTTCATTTTGTGGCCGCTATCGAATTTTTCTAAACACTATCGATAGTTGTATGTTGTTCACATTGTTGGCATTGGACTATTCCAAAAACACAAAAAAAAATTATAGTTTAAAAAACTAAAACCTCGTCATTATAATTTCCATTCGTACTGTCATCAGGTATGTAACTTGAGAATAGAAATCGCTGCGTCTTTCAGGCGCATCAATATTACATAGTTACATCCCGAGCTAATAAAAGGGAGGTAAAAGATATTTCTGCAACCTTGGAGAAATTCACAGTTCTCAAGTTGATTTCCAACATCATTCTCCAACTCATCTCTAACCGACGCGCAGATACGTAAAAAGTGATAGAGAAACGAATTTTTAATTATCAAGTGAAAAACGAAAGCTATTTAAAGAGGAAAATTACCAACAAAAAGTAAATATTCTTAAAAGTATTCAAATAATCTTGAAAAAAAAAATAAATAAATAAAATAAAACGCGAAATGATTCAAGTGGCAAAATTACTGTCGCACTGTATACTGTAAAGTGAAATATTGTAATACGATATTGATTAACTACATAATACAAAAGGAGTAATAAAATGAAAAATGAATATTTAAAGTCATCTATGTTTGTCGTTTCAATCAAAGAGGTATAAGGTATTTTACTATTTCAAATTTCAGTATTTCAATGATATGTTTGAGACCAATTGGAGAATTACATTGGATTTCAAGTTGAGAACTAGCATTTTCTCAACTTGAAAAACAGCCCTTTTATCATACAAAGAAAAATGCCCTCTTTGTTGAGAACGCTATGTTCCTCCACTTGAGGTACTGTTGAGAAACAACGTTGGAGATTTGAGAAAAACCTTAGCTCTCAACTAACCTCAAGTTGAGCTCAAACTTAAATGTTTGTTGGGTTGTTATTTACTCGTATCATCCCTATTCCGCCTACGTTTTTACACAAAAATTTAAAAAATAATTAAGTAAAACAAAGAGTTAAGAGCTCGCATTTATATGTATTACTAATCACTTCATATTAGTAATGTCGCTAGTGGAGGCATATCGGTCGAACTGGCTGATAGCCACTTTTGGATGCATACTTCTAATTGCTGGACTCTCTGTCCTCTCCTGGAATGAAGTATATAGACGCTACAGCAGCTCAAGCGTTCGCTGCCATGAAAACCTAAGCACACAAAATATACAAATTTCTCTTTTAACAGGGCCGAGCGGTGCACAGAACTTTGTCACTAGATGAAGCTTTGAACGATGCAATAACGCTGGATTCTAATGACGAATTAGATTACAACTATAATGGGCGCATAGTGCATTTAACCGGTGCCATAGTGATTGGAGAGCCACTTACCGAACCAGACTATAATATTCAAGTTTTAGCGGTAAAGTTGAAGCGACGAGTACAAATGTTCCAGTGGGTAGAAGAGACAGTGTAGGTTATATTTTCAGAGTACTTAGTAGTGATGTATGGAGTGAAAATAAAATAAGCAATGTCTTTCTTAATTTTGCAGTGAACATAACTACGGTGAGAGTATTGCGTCTGTACAAACCGAAAGTCGCTCGTATTATTACTATACGGAATGGCGCGATAAATTAATTGACTCCCGAAATTTTTACATACAAACTGGTCACCAAAATCCTAATCGTTTCCCCGTGGAAAGTCAAACGCAAATCGCCGATGCAGCGTTTATAGGAAAATACGAGTTGGGTAGCGAAATAAAAAATAAATTTACAAACTATGTGGAGTTAACATCAGACACAAGGCCAGAAGATCCTACGATCAAAATGCATTTAGGACTCTACTACCACACGAACGATGTTTTCAATCCGGAAATAGGCGACACACGCTTATTATTTTCTTTTGCTGGAATGGAGGGTGAAGTAGTGAGTAGATTAAAGAAACCATGTACAAACGTATGTATGTATACATTTATGATTTATATTTTTAGTATACTGTAGTTGGGAAATTGGCGAATAACAAAATATTACCATACCGCACTAGTAGAGGAGTTGATGTTCTGCTCGTATACAGCGGTGAACTCGGTCTAGGTGAAGTATTTAAGTTGGAGCATCATGCCCAACGACTAACAACATGGGGCTATCGCTTTATGGGTTGGGTACTTGTTTTCTTCGGTGTAACTTGCACATCTACACTTTTACATATTATTCGTGAGTATACTGAAAAAAAGATAAGTAGGAATTTACTTGATTATATTATTATATTTCTTTATCTTGCAGTAAGTCATATTAATTTTCTCGCCGCATTGGCGCCGGATCCACTCTTTCCCGTTGGCGCCAACCTATTTCTGTCACTTTCAATCGCCTTGATCATTGCTTCCATCGCTTGGATATTGCATCGGCCAATGATTGGAGCTAGTTTATTATTTGCTGCCGCCTCACCATTTGTGTGGTGTGCTCGTAGTGTAGCAAATTACCAACCCATGAATTAAAAGTTTTGATTTAGTTTTTAAAGTTGAGCAACTGCCACATTTTCATACTAGTCATTAGAATAGATGAATATTAGTTAAAAGCAATAATTTGTGTTATTTGTACAGACTATGTGCATACAAACATACGTATATGTATAATACTTACGGTGACCATTCGTCCAGTATTATACGGTACAGTCCTATTTTTTGACCAATTAGTTCTGGCATAAATAAAAATAAAATAAATTTATACGGGACGCCAAATTTTCTCTATTTCTTTGAATGCCCTGTATTTGTCACGTAATCGGGGTTCGGTATTTCGACGCCTTCAAATCTCATTAAGATTACATGTCTATAAACCAGTTTTAAATGATGTTGGAATACGATCCATATGATCCATAAACAGTTATTATTTTCTAATCTGAATGCATGTGCTTCAAAACGAGGAACACATACAGCGATCAAAATATAAATTAGGATTCTACATTTTAGCAAGGTTCGGCTATTTTTCTTTTGTTTATTCAATTTTTTTTTTTTCAAGTAAAGCTCTTTTCGTAACAAAAACCATATAAATCTAGATTTCCGACTTTGTGCAAAAACTATGAGAATTGATTCTGCAAATTTTCACTCAAAATTTCAAACTTTTTATTCAGAAGCTTTAGAAAAAAAATTTGGTTGCAGTTTTGTAGCTCATTAAAATTGAGTATAAGGTATAAATTACAAGTGCAACATGCTGATCATTTGCTTCCCTATCAACAAATTGTCGAGCATAACTTTGTATGAAAAAAAATGCGTAGCACCGTCGACAAAAAAAATCCCAAAAATTAACGGTAAGTCCTAGCTACTTAAACTTGCACTTTATCGTACTAAACTTTTGTAAAAAATTTTGTGGAGTAAAAATCTCCAGAAAGATTTCCGACAAATTTGTAATGTTACTATAAGGATGCGGGTTCAGGGCTAATACATACATCTAAGATCATTTAAGAATTAATTAAGATCTGTTAGCTTTTATGGAAGAAATTAGCAAAATTACTTTTTGTCACGTATTCGGCTCGCATAAATATGGTCACCGTAATAGTACTGACCAAACAATTTGATAACGAATTAAAAAATCAAATATGTACTTGGTTAAAGAAGCAATGCATCTCTGGCTTAAAATATTAATTTTTATCTTAAAGCTACAATGAAATTTAGTTCTGATAATTTTCGTAANACGTTTAAGCTTATGCGTCCAGGTTCGTGCGATGGATTCCTCTTCAGGAAACGTACTTGAAAGATAATCGCAAGCTATGCTGAGTAGTTCATCTGGTGTTTGGCCAGCTGCAACTGCACCGCTTGATGGCGAATAACGTGAACGCTTTGCTGGTCCTACTGGCGATTCCGATTCCTGTCTTGCATGATTGTATTCTGCGGAGTTTGTGGTTTGTACATTTGGCGCCGAATTTGCAACAGATAACTGTGATGTGGTAGTTGGAGGAGGTGTCCGCTCTGGATCAAGTTTTTGAGAGTTCCCAAAAGATTTGTGAAACATTTCGGCAATGCTCGGGGGTGATTGAACCGTACCCACGCCCATCATTGTGCGGAAATTGTAAGTTGATGCTGGTGGATCGATAAATGATGCTTGCGACTGTGAATTTTCGCTAAATGCTGAGAAATTATCGCCCCGCGTACTTGGATTGACTGCCAGAAATTTCTCGGTATTGCGTAGAAAATCCAATTCATGAAACGTCCAACAACGTGGATGATGAACGGTACCATTTCGACGGGCGCTCTCCACAACTTTTAACTCTTTTCGGTAGTTTGTTCGCAATGTGTTAATCTTCTTCTTTACATCTTCTACGTTTGCATCACGTTTGAGGTAGCGATAGATTGGGACAAGCTGTTCGTAGGCTTCGGCTCGTTTGTCTCGATTCGTGTAATCCCGTAGAGAAGTGTCCCAAAGAACTGGAAGATCGCGATAGGTGTGAATAAAAGCACGCAGAAAGTGTCGATTTTCTTCAGCGCCAGTCATTTGTTTCATAGGAGTGAGATACTTATCGGGCGCCAGCATTTCGAATTTCAACGGTTATAAAATTTGCAAGCTGTCGGAAACGGATATGCTGCTCTCTGAGTTAGTCCTTTCCAGTGAAATGTGAAAACTAGGGATAAATATCCTCAATTCCACAGCAGTTGGAGGTTGAAGTATTGAAGTACTGATGGAGGTATGAGGTATTGAAGAACTGTCACTACAAAGATTTGACGTATTGCTGCATTGTTTGTTGCATTGTACAATGCAGTTGAAGTATTGACAGATAAACGATAAACGATAAACATGAAGTACTAGTCGAGGTTTCCGGGCTGACGGTTTTGAAGATTTTTTTTGTTCTAATTTTATTACTACGGCGTCTAATAAATGCATGGCTTTTAGTTCTAGAAGAATAAAAGTCAGTAAAGACAAGTNTTCCAGCAGTAAAAAGTTACGAATCGGCACAACAGAAATGCAAAATTTTCTCGCCATAATAAAAAGTTTTTGATTGAATTTTTTATTTTTGTTTCTGAAATTAATTGTTTGACTAAAATATTTTATGTTCATGCAAAATAAGAACGCGAGGCAATGTAAGGATAATATGTTACATATTTAGGTAATTTTTATCATTTTCTATATAGTGTTTTAGATTTTGAAGAAAAAGGAGGCGCGACATCTGGAAGAGGGTAGTACAGTTAAAGAATGCGTTCGTGTGATATCGTAATAAATTTGTAGCGACATTATTGTGACAGCTCTAAGCATCGCTGAACACAACTCAACCTCACTTTTTTGACGTTTATGTGTCCGTTGGTTTTTGATTTTGCTGTGCGCCGCGCCGCAGTCGCTTGAATTTCGCCGTCGGGCAGCGTTGTCGTTGTTTTTCCTATCCTCTTTTTCACTTTGAAAAATTGCGTGTACGGCGGCGAAAATTAATTTTCATGATTTGAATTGCAAAATGAGGCATTTTCATAATTATTTGAGTTGTGTTTGTCAAAGAAAAATAGAAAAAAGTACTTATGTGACAAGTTAAAATAGAAAAGAAAACGTTAAAAGTTTGTCTTAATAAAAACTGGATTTGCAAAAAAGAAAAGAAAGAAATTTTGCGTGAAGCTGAGCGCGCAGTTTGAAATATAAAAAAAAGTGTTTGATAGTGAATTGTTTCGAACCGTGGTATCGATATTTGAAGTGCATCAGTTATAATTTTTTGATTGTATACAGAGTTTTGGTAGCCTCAGGCACCAGGTGTTGCTTGTCTCACCAGCTACGCTACGATATCGCTGGCCGGCAGCTGTATCCGTTGTGTGCGCAATCAGCGCTAATGCTTTGCGCTTAAGGACTCATCATTTATGTGGCTTTGGTGAAAAGATAATTTTTTCAACTTGTTGGGTTCCTGGCTAGTTAAAGTTTATGTCAGAAGACCGCCAAATTTCTATACAATATTCATAGAATACTTCATAAATTACCCATCCACAATGGAGACCATAGATGAACAATCAAAAAGTGGTAGGTGGTAATCTCTTCGTATCTATACGGATCTGTATGTAAAATGCGCACAAGTACGTGACATGCTCTTGCGAAATATAAAGCTACCTTCTTCAAGATATTTGACTAGCGATCATTTTTACCTGCCTTATTTGTTTCTGCATGCTCGGCTAGCTTGTAGAAGTCCGTGGAATTTCAATATGCAAATACATGCTTATGTACATATGTATGTACACATCTGTGTTCGTATGGAATAGTAGCTTATGTCGGAAAGTTGCCTTTAGTATAATGCGGCATTTCCTTTATTCTTTAAACGGCAAGGCATTTTTTGATGAGACTTAATAAGAATATTGACTTGCTAGTATCGGAACTATTTCTTGCATGTTTATTTGCCAAAAGTTCTTCAACGGCTCGGCGCCAGTGAGTCATTCGCAATCGTATGCTGCGAATGCTGCATTATACTAACGCCAGCCTTTCGACATAAGCTGCTATCCCATACGAACACAGATATGTACTATATAGTATATAGATATCTACTATATATTATATAGATATCTTAAAATGCACATACATGTCTCTCATCAACTGGGTATCTAGTTCACACCTTGGGCAATTGGAATAACGAAAGTTCTCATACCTACCAGGTTCGTTTTAGGAATTTGTATGATGCTACCACACATTTTTAATTGGGTCGGTTGGGGTCTTAGCAATGATCATAACGGTATAATTTTTTTGAAGGGGAAGAAATTACTGGTGTTATTGAAGTGCAAAGTATCAGTTTTTTCATTTTCTTACCACTAAAATCTACTTTACATTTTGATGTCGTTTGAATGGTATTAAAAATATATATTTTTTTGATATATACATATGTACCTGTTTTATTTTTTCTGTAAAGTTTATGAAAAAAATAAGCCTTTATAAAAAAATTACAAAGTTTTATAAAAAATTAAGTTCTGGCAACGCACAGTGCGGCCGAATTCCAAAAGTGCNTCACTGTAACGACCTGTACCCTAAGCCCTCTCTTTACATTCATTTCTAGTGAGACCTTCTCCCAAGCACAACATTATTGTAATAAAAAGCGGAAAGTTATTAACGTATAAAAGTAGTTAGAGAATAGGAAACCAAATAAAACCAAATGAATTTTACGTCTGAAGGTTTGTAAATAACGTTACAAAATTTTTGAAAAGAAAACCTGTAACAGGATTTTTAAGAAAAAAATGTGAATGTATTTTTTCGTTTATTTTTAAACATAATTTTAGGTGTTAAATGCAACAGTAACATCACTCTGTTGGATGCTGCCTTTAAACCTATTTGAGTTTACGTAGAAAAATATTAGCTATAGAATAAAACTCAGATTTTTTTTTTTTAACACGCTGATACATATTAGCTTCACCTACATGTACAAATTTCGAACTTTTTAATTAGATTTCACAGAAAGATTTTGAGTATGCAGTTTGGAGGTCCATTTAATTTAAGTATAATAAAGTGCAAGCTTAAAGAAGCTGGGACTTAGGTTGATTTTTGTAAATTTTTTTTTTTGTTAAAGGCCTTGCTCATTTTCTTCATATCATCGAACATACTTCGTATGGAAGAAAATAGCTGCCACTGTCAACAAAAAAAAATCTCAAAAATCAACGGTAAGTCCTAGCTACTTCAAGCTTGCGCCTTGTGGCAAGACTATAAACCTGCATGCTCAAAATCTTTCTAAGAAATCTAATTAAAAAGCCCAACATTTACCAGACGCCTTACTGCATCCGACATTTCGAAATTTGCAACTCTGATAGTGGATTCGTAATTAGCGACCTTGAAAACGCCCTAGTACAAAATTTCGAATCATTTATTTCAACCTTAGAATTTTGTCCGCACTTTTGAATTTCGAAAGCACTGTGCAACGCAGAAAGAAGTTCTGCCCAAAAATACCTGCGATCGTTCATAGGTATGGGCTTGATCGAGATGCAATCACAACCGCGCTGTTGCGCGAATTATTAAAGTATCAAGTTCGTTGTGAATTTCCAGCAACGTTTTATTAGTTGGCAAGTTGCAACAGTATTGCGAATTTTCATCAGTGCTGCAGTACTGCCGCTTTTATTACGTACCTCGAACAGGCCCTATGTATATCAATATTTTTGTATGTCACAAGAGATATTTATATTACCTTTCTAATGACATACAAATCCTTGAAATATCTTAAATTTTTTATGAGATATTCAAGTTTGAAGAAATCTATTTTTTTGACCTTTGACCTTGAATAAAACTTAGTTTTTGTTTACACAAAAATAAATTATATTGTTGTAATCTGTATGAATTCCTCTATAGAGCCCACTATTTTTTGTTTTGTATTTTTTGAGAAATGTACGTATTCTGCACTTGTTCGGTTTAAATAAAATTTAAAGACATCATAATTTATTTTATTTTATTTAAAACTAGCCGTCCTCGTATGCGCGAGGCTTCGCCGATTGCGATTGACAACTAAACAGGTTGCCACCCTACTAAAAAATAATATATTATTGAGCATCTGGGGGCCTCTCATTTGACACCTCATTTCTTGTAATCTAACGAACAGCCCACATTCGACTAGGTGTATAGTGTCAAGTTAGCACTACATACCATTTTTTCTTAAAAAACGAGAGTTACAAATTTTTTCTTTCCAGAACAAATTTTAAAGTTAAAAGCTACAATTAATGGCATAGTAACATATTGGATATCTCAATTCTATCGACTAGGTGTATGGTGTCAAGTTAGAATTTTTTTTTTAAATGAGAGCTACAAATTTTTTCTTTCCACAACAAATTTACAACAAAAACACTACAATTAATGCCGTAGTTAACTTTTCCAATTTCGAAAAGTGTAGTGCTAACTTGACACACGTGTTGTTCGGACGTTCCGATTTTTCCAATGGATAACATTTTTTATTTAAGAATGAAAACACACTCGTTTTTTTAATGCAAATATGGGGTTTTATTGTAGATAAATCTACATCTATATGAAGGCCTTAATTAACGTTCGTTGAAGTTGTACATATCGACGCCTCCAAACCATACTATGCTAAGTCTGACTAAGCCTAAGCAGACATAGCATAGCATAGAATGGTTTGGAGACGTTGAACATTTTGCGCAAATGAATAGACATGAAGATTTTTTTGTTCATTTGTATGTGCGTACATAAAATTCTTTGCTAAATGTGTGGATTAAATGCCTCTAAATAAATTAAAAATAATCACTTCAACTGAGTTTTTGAGTTCGCTATTTAAAAGAATATTTTATGTGCTACATCCTTATACTTATGTATGTATGTATGTATTTGTCTTAATGACTGATACAGTTTTTATTATTATTTCGCCATTTTTTTCAACCTTCCTTGGAATCACCTCCGAGATTACATAATTACTTTATAAATTTTGACCACTTACATATGCATGTACATTAGGGCGGGTCGATTGTCAGGGGCACAGAAAAATTAACAGAGGCACATCGCGATTATGATTATTTGGGTAATTTAAAGCATTTTTGCCCAAGAAGGTCTAAAATGAATTTCGAGCCAGCGATTTTGGCTCACCTGTTGAAACAAATGTATTGAAAACTAGCCAAAATGTGAATCTGGGGGTTTTTGGAGTCGAGGAATCCATTTCTGGCATTAATTTTTTCTTTTGAGGGCCTTCAGAGCGCGTTTCCGTACTTTTTTTTTTTGGGTTTTAACGCATCTTTTCCGAAAATCGACAACATTATTGCGAAAATCCACGAAGTTTGACTCTCATAATGCAATTTCAATTTTTAGATAGCCTACAATGTTTGAAATGACCCAAATAACCATAATCGCGATGTGCCTTTGATGCAACAAATTTGACCCGCCCTAATATACATACATATGTATGTATGTATGTAGTTTAAATTTTTTATTTCTTCAAAAACATAGCTTATACCTACCACAACGAAAACCATGTAACTCCAAGCTTCACATCTTGTAAAAGTTTTATAAAAAAATCACCCAAGTTTCAAACAAATTTCATCAAAATTTTAAACTTTTTAATCAGATGTGAAAAGAAGATAATTGGTCCTTCGCGGACACCAATTGTGATTTTCAAGGAGCCTTATTGTAATGCACGCGTATCTGTATACATATTTACATACATATCGTCGTTTAAAGTGCAAAACCGCTTATTAACAAAATGCAAAACTGCGTATGTGAAGTTGTTGGTTCTCTTTTTTTTATAAAGCAATCGCATATCTGCCTAGTATATTTCAGGACGAATGGATAAGGATTAAGCCAAGAGCTTGTGTGAGCAAATCCAATTTTTGGCAGGCAATGTCAGTTACGCGGTTTTGCAGAATCACGATACGCGGTTTTGTACTTTAACCGCGACGATATGTATCTACTTGAAGGTATGTATGTTTTTCTGCCGTCAACAAAAAAAAAAAATACCGCCGTCATGTGCAACACAACATGTGGATCGCAAACAAAACAGGAAGAGAACCGAAAAGGCAAAAAACCATTGGCACTTTGTGTGTAAAAGCTGGAGATTAGACAGGATGGCAAATACACATACTTCATGGAATTAGGGACTCATATTGTTGTTGCTTTGAGGAATTGTTTTTGTGTGTTTCTCCCCTTGAATGTATGTACCTACTTATTCTGCCTTCGTACTGAATGTACGCTGGCGTGAACCTCGATATTGTCGGCCTGTTGTTTTCTTGCAACTTCTTTTCTCAATCTCTTGGAGTGCATTTCATACTCAAAACCTGCTTTAGATTCACGTTGCACTCTGCTTTCGCACAGGTAAATTTTTGCCTAGGAAATGCTATGTTTTTATTTGGAAGTTGTGTAGAACAGAGGATGATGATAACGTAAACTGCAGGTACAAGCATTCACATCTGTGCATAAAAGCATAGGTATATATGTACACAATATGTATGAATCTAAGAAGTTTTGACAAAACAACTTCTGTATGCGATTTTAAAATGCGTGATTTTAGATGAAAAGTTTATATAAGCTTCCATACAAAAGTTGAAAGCTGTAATAGTAAA